ATAGTGGTTAGCAGTGGAATCCAAGACGCGCGTTTCTTTCTATTCGGGACTTGTCAGCTGGATGTACCTGCATCTCAGAGTTTATGTTCACTCTGGGACTCGAACCCAGTACCGTTCGCTTCGAACGCCATCGCGTTTGAAATGATTTGAATTCTAATATTGACGAATATTCATTTATTATTTAATAAACACATTCTTAAATGATATACTTTCATATTTTAACCAAATGACTTTTTCAGTTAATTTTTTTGTCGATTCATTCTATTGTTTATAGAAAACTGAATGTGAAGGATAGTTATTGACTCAAAATTAACTATAGGAAATGTCAAATTTTTAGTAAGCACAATAAAAGTGATTGGCAAAACAAAAATTGAGAATATAAATGGTAAATTAACTTAATAGTCAATTAGAATTATATTCAAGACGAGGTGTTAATATCTTGAATGTAAACACTTCAAATTATATCAGACGTGGATTGGCAAAGCAATCACCCTAAGTTGGAATCCTGAAAGAAAACGAAAATGAGGAAGGCTAAAGAACACATTACATTGGGAAATAGAAGCAGATATGAAAAGGATAAACAACAAATGGAAAGAGCTGGAAAGGATTACCCAGGACAGGGTTGGATGGAGAGTGCTGGTGGGCGGCCTATGTTCTTCCACGAATAGTAACAGGCGTAAGTAAGTAACCTCTAAATTGATGAATATTTGTAAAACAGTTAACTGAATAACATATTTTTCTTTTTTAAATTAATACAATATTTACTCGACTCTTCACTCCTAGAGATATCACATCAGTTTATGTTGGTATGAAACTAAAAGAAGTTATAATATCAGATAAATAATTGAAAATTTGATTCTTTAATAATTAACAAAAAGAAATTGGATTAAAAATGATGAAATTAGAAAATGACATTTTAATTGGTAAGACAATGTAGCAGAAAGTTTGTTAACCTTAATTTCGCATTCATGATGTTCAATGGTCGATCTAATCATACTAAAGTTTATTCTGCCATTAGACCGATTGAAATAAATCATTTAATTAATTTGCCCTTATAATTTTAGATCGGTATCAGTGCACCAGATCATAATAGAAATAAGTTTTTTCCCATTTGAATCCTTTTGAAAGTACTAACATACACCTGTTACTCCTCGTGGAGGAGCATAGACCACTCACCATAATTCTCCATTCAACTCTGTCCTGGGCAATCCTTTCCAGTTCTTATTCATCCTTTTGATATCTGCTTCCAATTCTCAGTGAAGTATGTTCTTTGACATTCATCTTTTCCGCTTCCCTTCAGGATTTCAAGTTAGGACTTGTCTCGTGATGCGGTTCGGTGATTTCCATGATATATGTCCTATCCATTTCCATCGTCGTTTGCTAATTTTCTCTTCAGCTGGATGTTGGTTTGTTCTCTCCCACAGAAAGCTTTTGCTGATGGTATCCGGCCAAACTGTTACTTAACAAATTTGGAAGTTTCTATCAAATATCTATACATTCAAGTATATGTAAGATTAGTGAAAAAAGAGCCTTCTTCATCACAATTTGAAAATCCGGAATAATAAAATTCGATAGGAAGTATTGATAATGTAATTTTAAACTAAGCTGACATAACTTATTCATTCCCGGTTCGTTTTTAATGATTTCCTTGATAATCTAAACAAAATAATTAATAGGATTATAGTGATCTTCGTGTACATGTCGCTTGTAATAAGAATTAAACACGCTAATGAGAAAAAACAATATCCTACAATAATTTTATAATAAATGAAATATTTTTTTTTAAAAAGACAATTTGTTAAACTTCTCTTACAACTAACTCTAATACACTAACAAAAGCTTGATATTTTATTAGGCAAAAGATAATGATCATTATGAATATAACTTGATGTAACAAGACCCAGATACATTGATACTAAGTTTATTCAAGTTTTTGGTGTAGTTTTGTTCTCTGAGCTGGATGGTTTGATCATGGAGCTTTCATCGTTCTTCTGAACGACATCATCAGCACAAACTTCAGGTATGGTCCAATGACACATGTTAACTCAGTAACTTATTACTAACGAAGAGGTCTGTAATTATTGAGAAGAATAAAATGTTTCATTGTACACAAAGGTAGATAAGTTTGAAATTGTGAAAAGTGTTTTATTTGAGCGATATCAAGAATATGGATTTCCAGTAAATAAAATCTATTAATACTAAAAAAATCAAAATCAATATAAAATGGCCTGTAGTGATTTCATCGCCATTTTTTTAAAATATCGGAATCGCTTATTACTTATACCTGTAAAACGAGAAACCACTGTAATTCCCACGATGCGAAGTCAGAATACCAAGAATGGTATGAGTGAAGATTTATTAACTCCAAAACATGACGACGACCTTAGTTAAAAATACACTCATTTATATATTGATTTGTGCACCCATTTTGATTATTAGTTAGGATGAAATCACAAATATGAAAAATACCCAGAGTTATAACAAATCACACGCTGCGTGTCATGCTGAGCCAATTTCATGTACATTTAATACCGGAATATTATATATTGAATAAAACACCACATTCACAAATAAATTAATGTTATAACGAACAAAATATCACAGTGGAAACCAAAACAAATACTACACTAAGTAATCATCATATTCAATTAAACAAACGGAAGTAATGTTGAACAAAAGTCATGATGTGTAAAAGAATGTAATTTTTGACTTTTCAACCCCATCATATCATTGCCAAATAGATTCCTCACTCAGATTTTACCAATAGCACTGAATAATGATCTTTATTAATTACAATGATGATCTATCTAAAAACTAAACAGATTTACATTGAACTATACACTTGACAAGTGAATAATCAGCTGTAAGTAACCGAAGATTCTGTAAATTGAATTTGTATTGAGATCATCAAATGAGTTAGCTTAACACCGTGTTTTTTTTTATAAATAATAGTTTTTGATTGAGATCATGAACCGATTGATGTTAGACCACCATGGAAAACCTGGGAGCACTGAACGGTCGTTTCGTTCGATTGTGGGACTCCTGAGCAGTGCGCATCCACGATCCCGCTCGCCGGATTCCAACCTAGGGCTTTCAGTCTCGCGCGCGAACGCCTAACCTACTAGACCACTTAGCCGGCATCCAATGGTGTTAATGTCTAACCTCAACCAATCCACGAAATTGCGCGACCATCTTCCATTGTACTGAGGTAGACACTTGTTTCTACCCGACACGGGTTAACTTCACTGGTTACGGCTCCTCACCAGAATAGTTTGTTGAACTCGATCCCCATGAAGAGTGAAAATACTACTTAATGATTAATGTCAAATATGGCTTCCTGTTGATTAACGCCTCCAGCAAACCATCTAAGTCTTTTATACCTGTCAATATTCTCTACAACACTGACAAATCCCATCAATGGATTTATCAAGGTGACATCGACCATTTTCATCAGTCTGGCATTATATTTTTGTTTATATTAATTCTTACATTATTTAAATACAATTAGTTAGTAGATACGATAGAATGAATCATTTTGCTAGTCTATCAACCTGCAGATTAATAAACTTATGTAAAAACAGTGAATAAGCAGATTTTGAGTAGAATAATATGGTTTTTGGCATGTCATAAAAGTAGAGTGGCAGATATTTCGCCCGTATTTCGAGCATCCTCATCAGTGTGCGTACAAGAACGCAACACAAGTTCGAAACTATAACTTCTAGACCAAAAAACCCTAAACACTCAAACCACGAGATAGTGGAGGACAGGGTTAAATTTATTATAGTTCATGAGTAATCTAGCCGAAACCATCGAATAACGCATGAAATGTTAAGCTGAAGTCCGACCCACAAGAACATCCAGTATAGGGTTCTTAAAATGTAAGAGATTTTCGAGAACCCATGATAGTATGACTGACTGGAAATCGAGTTTAATGATAATGGTAAGTCAAATATTTATCTTGATGCTCCAAGCATTTTATTATTATGCTCTTGTTCGGTGTTTAAATATAATACACTATATTGGTTTTAATATGTAAATCCTTATGTTGACTTTTGATTTTGCACTTTGTAATGCGACAGTAAAAGCAATCAGAAACACGAAAGTATGTGTATAACATAAGTTGCTTCATACAATCTCAAAACGTTTTCTGTTCTAAATAATAAGGTCATTTATATATCGATAAAATGAAAAATAATGAAATGCAATTTTGATAATAACGGTAACAATGACAGTCAGTTTAATCTACATAGTAACATATTTTCATTCCAGCCAACATTATCAACCGCAAACAGAACAAGTGTATAGGAAAAGAATATTTCAAATAATAATGACAGTTGGAGAAAAAAGACAACTGGAGAGAAGTCAATAGACTGGTGTATATTATTTATAGATGGGACAAGAAAGTAAAACTATGTTACTGAAAAAAGTAAACATACGAAAAATTACAAGGAACTGATCACAAATGGCAGTAAGATTAAATACCATAATAATTAATGTCAGTTAATGAAGTAGTATACAGCACACCTATCAAAAAACCCATTCATCCAAGAAAAAAATGAAAGTGACATATATAATATAGGGAAAACAATATACTGTCAAGATCCATCATGTAAAGAAATCAGAAAGTACGTTACATGTTGAATAGTTTCTAAGTATTGGAAAATAATAAAACAGCCCAGAGTCAGACATCTGACAAACGCGAAAATAAAAATGAAGTTAGAATCTGTAGAAACAACCGGTCAACTTCATACAACAATCAAAGTGATTATATATATATATATATATATATATATATATATATATATATATATATATATATATATATATAATTGCAACAAGTTTGGTCACAGGCAGAGAAACTGAATAAAATGAGTATTTATCTATAAATAATTGTGCACGTAGTCATTCGAACATAGTTAACTGAAAGACACCAAAGGTAATTATTCTTTTGGTCATCATACCATTTGACTTGAATATAATATTCATATACACATAAGTCTTCAACATTTACGATCTGGGCACTTGGTTTGCACTATTCGAAGTTTTTTCACATCTTTATCATACGCTAAACCAGTTTCACATGGTGTTATCACAATACTTGGGTGATGGTTAGCTTGGTCACGTGGGTGCAATTCAAATGCCTCACCTACAGATACATAAGTATTTGTATATCATTAATAATGACAGAAATAACAAAAAACTAAAAAAATCAATACAGGAATACTTATAATTTAATTGTGTCTTTTTAGGATCCTTTTCAATAGCCCGATGTGACACTCTTTCCATATCCCTTGAAGTAAGCTAAACAATTAGCGATCAACCAAACTTTCCTATCAAGTTTATCATTAGTAAAGTATCTTACAATCTCTTGAAAGGATCTGATGTAGATTTTGTCGAAAGTATTTTATGGTTGTGACCAACATTCTATTTGAATTAAGAACAGTTTCACATACAAACGACCACTACAAGTTAGTCAGCCTAACATTTTTAGACTAACTTATGCACAAATGTTATCAGTCACACTTTATATTTTTATTTTCAAGAAGTTGAACCAGAAAATATACGATGCTTCGTGAAGATCTGTTTAGAATAATCAGAAAACTATTTATTTACAAGTATATTTTACAGCAAATCTGCATGTTACAACCCAAAATTATTTAGTCATTTTAATTATTCCCACTCCCCTCCTACGCTAGAAACTAAATAAGATATCTGGGAGTATTTTCGACCGTTCAACAAGAGAATGGGAAGTCCTCGATAGTCCACAACAATTTAATTATGGAAATATCGATATCTCCCTAAAGTAACTATTTGTCAGGAGCACTCCAAGTTATAAATTTAACAGTTCTCATGACCACGCTACAATAATTAAAAAGTATCTCATTTCCACATACACTACTCACTAAAATTAGCTCAAAACTTATTTATCAAAATATTCATACACCAAGTAATTTGAATAAATGCACACATTAGGCTCACCTGGTGCTAATGAAGCTAAGGCATGTAAAAGTTCATAATTGATAACAGGTTCACATTCTGGTTTTGGTTCCCACCCAACAGGAGGTGAGGCAGGCGGAGAAAGTAAGAATAATCGACATGGTTTTGGAGGAGCTAAATGTTTCATTGAACAACCCAAACTACGTCGCCTATATTTACCATGTTTACAAAGTTCGTTTGAAAAAAACAATACATCTATATTCTTTTCACCAGACGTGTTGCTTATATTTTTGAATTCAGAAGTAGTCTTATCTGGAGACATTTCCTTCTGGTTTCTAAAATTGCGACTACTATTAACAATAGGAGATATGGGTGATGCAATAAATTCTGCTGGATTTTCTTCTACATCATCTTGATTTAACAGTTTATTGTTGGCGAGTGAAGTCGATTGAAAGTCTGTATTCTCTTTACAATCTTCGGTTCGATCATCACCAAAGTACTCATCAGAATCGACCGTGCATTCTGGATTATCACAGTAATCGCACTCCTCTACTTGATTAATTTCATTTTTGTCGTTACTATCTTCGAAATTCCCAATATAACAATTAATTCCACCACTATTAGAATTTACTGAACTGTTTGGTATGTTAGCATATACATGTTCAGGAAGCATCCACCCTTGGGTCTCCAAACGTGCCAACAATGCAGCTTCTGGTCTGTTCATGTAAATCTATCGAAGATGAGCAAATAGATTGCTTACAGAAATACCTCATGGAATGAAAGTAGGATTTGATACATGTATATATTTTATAAACAGATACTTAGTTTATACTCTGTACGTACGCTTTTATTTTACCCCAAAACTCTGAATTAAGCATCATACACGATAATGACAGTAATCCAGGCTTATTGTATGATCGAAACATTGACAAATTTGAGTTTCAGCTTTAACTGTTATTAAGACATGACTCCAAAGAGATGATGTCTGGAATTAAGGATTGTAAAATTAAGCTGTTTAGTTTTATGGGCCACGTGTTAGTCAGCAAGTAAATCAATAAAAAAAACATGCTAACATGGACTGAACAATAAAATGACTAGCAAATAAATAGCTAAGATCTACATGTACAACCAACCCCGACCGTAGTTGTTACCTTAACATAGAGGCAGGGTTTTCCAATATTGATGACTCAACTGAGTTATATTGGCTGAAGCATATGTACCTTTCGGTCCCAACATACCAGACAGATCGAATGGAGAACGGTAAGTCTAAAAGCAGCAAATTAAGGCCTGAGGACGAAGTCGTACTGCTGACTGTATAAGGGTAAGAGAAAAGTAAGCTGTTTTCCTCGGACAACCAGCCTCTGCAGCGATGATATTTTCTCACGACGGAAGGAAAGGGTTAGAATAAGTCGACCCTGAAAATGTCACGCCTCCACTTACCTCACGAGTATGTCTCCGGCGGTAAGGCCTTTTGAAGTGCAAAGCTAACACCGTAAACTTCCCACGCAGAAACCTTGCGCGACTGGCCTGAAGTTCGACCAAACCGAACAGTGAGAACTCGAAAAAAATGGTGACACGTCGTTTCCTTGTCGTTGTCTCTGACTACGCTTTCACTGATTGTAGCTCGGAAAAAGTTGAAAATGAATTTTATAGGAAGTTATGCAACCTCCGTTAAAAAGCTAAACTCTGATTTAGTAATAGTGGCAGGTGATTTTAATGTTCAAGTAAATAAACTAAGCCGAACCATAAGACACTTAGGCGGATCTTACGTTGTCATGGCTCAGCGAACAGATTATGGCGACCGTCTGCTGCAATTATGCCCATATAACTGCCTATTCCTGTCAAACACCAACTTCAAGCATAAGGAGAAGCACCGTCTGACGTGATGGGCTCAAAGAGATCAAATTGTCATCAGCCATCGTTGGAGGGGATTGATTAAAAATTACTACTCATTCTAGAGCACACGCATGGACTCAGATAATGCTCTAACTTGAGCACGTATTCGTCTGCGTCTTACTGGACGTAGAAAAGAAAACTCTTTAGAGTTCAACTTAATAATGAAAAAGCCAAGATTATATTTCAGGACTAACTAGAGGTGCTAGTTAATCGTCAAAATGATATCCACCACGCGGTAGCTTGGTACGATATCCGAAAGGCTGTGGAAACAGTAGCGGTATATACCAATAACTTAAAACTAAAGGGTGATAGATGCTCCGAAACTCACCTGGTAGGGCCGGGGGTAGGAAGTCAGCTCTCCTCGAAATGCTCTCACATGGCCACACATATACAACCACTTCCAATGAAGTCCTACTAACTGCCTCCTCGTGGCATTAATGTTGTTTACGAAATTGAGTGGACAAAAACCGAGTGTCCGGTACTTTAACCAGGTTGGTGGACACAGGGAGTCCTGAGGGCACAAATGGAGGATGAACCAATTATTGGTCACTGGCTACCATGGGGATGCATCTTCTGACGTTGCTCCACTGCCTTGTGGATCAGACCTTCAGGTCGAAGGCTCTGGATGTGGCTCCCTCAGAAAACCACCTGCTTCAGTTTGGACACGCGGGCAGTATCACAGCCCTCAAACAAATCACTGATAACTGCTACTGACCTCATTGTTAATGCGTAAAACATATGTATTTGGTGCTCCCTTGTACCAACGTTTGTGTTTAAATGAATAATTAATAAATTTATCTACCAATAACCTGTTCACCTTAATTTACCCAACAACGTAAATAATGTTAGTGAACCAAGCTAACAAGGAGTTATTCCAGTTTTAAAGGAATGGAGCTTCAAATAACATTGATGATGTTGATATTAGCACTTTAAACCAAGAAAACAAAAGCCTCGATATTCCAGAACTCGAAATATGGTCACACAACACTTGAGTCATTGTTGCTGTAGAGTGTTTTAAGCAAGGAAGCGTTTCTAAATATGAATGAAATACGTTCCAGTAATAGTAGAAATAGACATCGACCCTCACATAGCTACGACGGATGACGATTAGGACAGGTTCTCCAATACTGGGGCAATGTGGACCCTTCAAATCCTAGATTTTCATACCACAGAAGTGCCGAGAATCGAGATAGACGTACGAATATATGTAACATTATCACGATAAGAAACACTACGCGATTACGAAATCCTTAATTTGACATAGTCGAACTCCGAGTAACCAAGAATTTACATCAGAACCTACAGACTACAACATAATACTTGAGGAATCATTTGAAATTCGTTGGTCTCCGCTACAATACGTACCTTAGTTTCCATTGTGCAATACATATACGTTTGGAAACTTTTATTGCACCTGCGTTGTTGTTCCGAGGCATATGACTAGCGGACAGCGAATGGATGATCATAGTAAAACTAGCTGATCATTTACGAATCAGTCTAACTACAAGCTCATCAATAGACCCGTAAATGTTGGAAAAATGTTTATGGTCAATAAGATATATCATTTGTCAGTAAGTGGTCCCTATCCATATCTGTGTCACATGGAATCTTTTGAATATAAATAATTAACATATGGTCCCTGACTAAATACTAAGTTTTAAACTTACTAGAACTCTTTGGAAACTCGGCAAGTATACGAATTTGGACTGACTGTCAAAAGACCTAAATAGGTCCTCGAAGCATACCTAGGAAACAAATATCTGAAGAAACGTCAGACTTCAAACCTGTGCAACATTATACTTGAAAACTTCAAGAGGAACATTAGTTATGATTAGTTTTAGAGATACTCCACTAAGAACTTCCATGATTTCCTGTATTTCTTCAGCCGAGAATGTAAATCCCTTATTAGCTAGTGTCATTTGAACATCACAAGCTTCTCGACGTTTACTATCCATTTAGACTCACGCAAAGCAAAAAGGTCATTCATATGAAAGCACGAAAGCCACACACGACCTTAGGGGAATTCACTGAGTCAGGCCTTTAAAATGTGGAACAGTAAAACAATAGAAAGCCACACGCGGTTTAAATTCGATAGGTATACAGATCACAACTGGAAGAATTCTCTTAGTTAGGAGGGTGATAACAAGATAACAAGAAAAAATTCTTTCAAACTGATAGCTTCAAAACGTGTCTGTGTCGGACGATTGTTTACGGACTTTGTTAAGTGTTGATTGAGAACTGGTTACCTTTTTACAATTTGCGTCTGTATTAGGAATGTGACCTTTTTATGGTGAAAATCATGAATCCTCACATCCATTATTCAACAAAGCGCGATAAAAAGACACACTGATTCAGTAACTCGGAAATAAGAGAATCAAGTCACAAGTTGTATCCACGCAGCTGAAGTGATTGTTATCAAATGTTGGTTGCTCAATAGGATTCCATTCATGTGGTCTCATTTTCAATTTTGAAAGAGATATATCTTAGACTATGAAGACAAAATAGAAGCCGTCGCTAATTTCATCCCGACAGTTTTTATTCACGAACCTCGTCTCGGCAAAGACTAGGCCCAGAAATAATATCATCGTACTCATAAAGAGCTTCCAAAGAAGCTACGTAATAAATGCATTAATTAGCAACACACGGAAAAAATTAATCTGACCCGATGAATTACACTCTAAAATCCTGGAACAAATTGCATTGTGCTCTGTTTCTTATCACTACTGTATTTGGGAGGTCAATCAGTCTTAGTTGGTTACCTATGAACAGGAGCGATTCGACCGTTACTTCAACTGATAAGGCAAAACCAGGAAAACTTTTGACGAACTGCAGAAAAGTCAGCTTTATCAGCATCATAGTTAAAACATAGGTAAATATCATCAAGAACGCAATTTTTACATTTATGTGAACAAATAACTTGTTAGATAGTAGGTAAAACGATTTCAGGAAACAATCATTATGCACGTGAAGATGCCACAGGTATTCGGAGTGTGACGACGCCTTTGCGTATAACACCCTTATGATCAACGCACACCAGCCCACTCGAATCAGAAGTCAGGAACGAAATAGTTCAAATATATATATGGAAGGCTATCAACATGTAGAGAAGCGTTTTGTCTGAGCTGGCTAACAGTTACATGACGTGCCTATTCATGATCTGGAGCAGATTCGTAACTGAGAGCCTCCAGCTAGGTGTGTTCATTAAAAAGTTCGGCATTAAAGTCGACAACTAACAGAACTGTTCATTTTAGGGATTTGTTTACCACTACACACGACTAACCTTTCTATGGTAAAAGAGAGATGAATGTAGTCTTGTATTGTCGATAAATCTGTAGATGTTGTCTACCTTGATTTTGGCTAAGTATTTAAAAACATGTAGTATGACAGACTCCTTTTAAAGCTGAAACATCCAAGCGCTTATTGATCTCCTGTGGAGTAGGTAAAAGATTTTCTGCATGGTTGTTAATAAAAATCAAAAGTAAACCTCGAATCTTTCTAACGGAGATCACTGCTTATTGAAGTAACACGAGGCTCGGGCGCTATCAACAATTTGATGACATAAAAGTCTAGCGATAAGTTAACGGTGTAGATGCTGGTGTATTGAAATTCAGCTAATAATTCTGGCTAAATGATCAAAATTATGGTTGATTCTAGTTCTTGCAGTAAAATGCACATTGTGGGACCGGAGGTAAATAACGATGATTTTGGAGAAGCGTCCGTGTGCTTAGTCTTTTTCCACAATTATCGATCGACAAAAGAGTACCGGGACATTAAGACCACAATTCACAACTATGTCCTTGTACTTGGTAATATCAAATAAATTAAATAGAGGTTGGTAAGTTAATAATAAATATATATTCTGTTGTATGCCAGTGAGTAGAGAATTGCATTTCTAACCTTTTGTGGCTTAATTTAGGCCACTCTGAAGAAATGGTGGGTTCAGAGCCTTGTGGCCAATAAGGAGGACATTTACGAGACTTAGATTTCTTCGAAGAGCTACAGATGACAGTCAATCGCGCATCGATGTCAAAAACCTATTTTCTAGTGATCTAAGAATTGTAGCACTGAATTATTTTTTGCAATAAAGAAATCTTTTTGTTATTTGAGATTGTGGGATATATCCCTAGTTTTGTTTCGGCTCACACCTCTACGGCAAAGCAATAATTGTCCCGTAGGATTTGGGCCTGAGCCCATACGACTGCATTTACCTAAGCCCATAAAACAGTAGACTGGTTCTAATATCTTGAACTTTCCGTTGCATGACCTCTTGATCCATAAGGTTTTACGCAGGAATCACATAACTGCATGTACTAGCTTACCTTACGTGTAAATCAGTAGTACTGTCTACAGGAAAGTTTGAAGAACACATTTCGGCTGGTAATGGGATAATATGTTTAATGACAGCATTAAGATATGTCGAGCGACCATTTCTGCACGTCGGAGACATGGTTTCGATAAAGTATTCCCGCACTGACCTTGACTCAGCTTCATCAATTTTCCAGAGGTTACCGTAAATATTTTCAGCTGTTGTTTGGTCTGGAAACAGTGTTATTTCATTCTCATTAAAGGTTAATCATCATTTTTCAATGTCATACATTGCTTTGGATGAACTATACGTTATTTTAACCCTTTTTTGTTTATATTGACGACCTTACTTTGCCATCCGATCTGTCGAATCGAATATTCCCGCGTTCCTCATTGTTAAACTTCTCTTTATGCAAATTGATGAATAAAAATCTTTTCAGTAATTATATGCTCAGTTTCAAATCTCGAGTGGTTGGGGTCTAATTTCACTACAGTCCGACTTGAGATCTGCACTTGACTAAAATTTCGGAATAGCACAACAAGCGAGAAGCATATGGTACGGTATATTTCTACAAAGAAAGTGTCCAAAAAGTGAGTCACTTCTGGTTTCAAGCGTAAGATAACACAAAGCACATGTGGTCAGACGAGCTAAGAAACTGAGAAGAACCTACCAATATATAATGCAGTTTAAAATCCTAATAGTTCTTCAGTTTTACCGTCATTTTATTAAATGTGTAGAATGTGTGTGCGTCCAGACTAAAATGTTGTCACAGACACTGTTCTTAAAGAAATAAGTATAATTATCTTGAATAAAGCTGTATTACTCAGAAAATTTCATAAAATGACTTTATTCTTCTTGACTGTTCTGCTCTTTCTGATCAGGCTATACTTTCCAAGCGAATACAAACCGTTAACGTGTATTGTATAAAATAAGATATAAACCACCTAAGATTTTTCATCTTTTTGATGCGAGAAAAACGGGAAATTACTTTACCGTTGTGAATTGCTTTTATAGTCTCCGCTTCATAAATGCACCACATATTCATACTCGTCTAAATTCTTTCGTATCATGGACATGTTAGTTTCACACTGACCGGTCTTAAGGTCATAGCTTTATTTTTTGACTTTCATGAGGAAGGAGTGTTTCTGTAACATAAATTTGCTCCGAACAACTGAAGGATTCTTCAAACGATTCTTAAATTAGGCGTAATGTCCAGATTATTACAGCTGAACTTCAATAGCCAGGTTGAAAATGTTATAAAAACTTTGCATAAACGAATGAAGATGATCTCTTTAGATTAAGTGCCCTTTCTCTTTGTGAAAGGAAATTGATGATATCAGTAATCGCTTTATATTGAAGCTCAAAATGATATGGTAAGGGAAAGTAAGATCGGATGGCAAAAAATTAAGTCGTTCTACATACTACATAAATTTACTGATAAATAAGGTTTGATTATACAAGCGGTTAACTAGGTTTTGGTAACAGGGTCGACACATATGACGGAATCCTGAAAAGGGTGAGCAACTCGAACTGCGGATGAAAAAATGTGGTTTGCCTAGATAAATCTGCTTTCGCTGAACATGGTTATATACATATATTTTAAAAGTTTTTATCTTCATTTAATTGTTTCAAATGACATATCGCGACCTTGAAAATTTTAAGTACCAGGTCAAGATGCTGTTCATTTCACAAAAGGCAGAGTATGCTTGTTAGTTTACGGGTTTTCGCGCACGTGTAACGTATTGTCGTGGATTTTATGTGTCGTTATTTATCAGCTATTAACAGCCTTTTTTCCGTCATACATGACTTTTCGTAATCTTTGTGATTGGAAGATAGTTTTTGTTTCAATTTATAAGCAGTTTGACGTATTTCGTGCTCACCACCTAAGTAAATATGTAGCTGGCGTAATATGGTTTTTTTTAACAATACTAAGTCAAAGAAGTCGAATCACCATTTTTCTAGTCAAAAATAGATTACAGATTGAGTTTTCATGAAAATAAGCCGTAAAAAGAATTATATATGGTTCACCTCCTTGATTATGGTGACGGCAAACACAGATGTTGGTAGTCGTTTATAAAATGTAATTAGAAAGAAGTAAGCGTTAAAGTAACTATGAATATTATATAAATTGTTTGTATTTAGCCATAAAAGGTTATTTGGACTATAGGTAGCATTGTTTTGTACTGAAGTGACATATTACTGTGTAAGGTATCTTCATAAGTAAATCGATGGGTGTCTCTTCTGAGCATGGTGACGAAACCATGTCTTACTTAATACTGACTTATGATGTGTCTGTTAGAGGGTTGACGAATAATTCTCTGTAAAGGAAATGCACAATCGCAGAAGAAAATGTGAACAAAGTTATGATGCATATTGTCGAGTAATATCTAAGTGGTGCTTACCAATTTCTCTTGCTAATACCAGATATATAGACGAAATACTACAAGGGTTAGACACTGAAGAAATTTCCATTGCTTGTTAAGACACAAACTTAAATCAAAAAACAACTATTAATGAGTTAATTCATGAATTCCTACTGCATTACAGACTGACTCGTCTAAAGTAATTCATGCAGACAACGTGACGAAAAGTGAATGAGCAATGGAAGCAGAATCACAAGTTCCTTGTATTCATATCGCCTTTATGCCACATTATTGAATTACATTTTATTCATAAATCCGACCACGCTTCTATGTTGTGACGAACCTGATTTCAGTAATTTTTAAATAACACTGATTTGTGTGTTGTAAAGATTACCTATTAATTTTTATTAAAGGAAATAGAAATCTCTAATGATTAGCGCTGTCTGCAAATAAGAGACTTATAAGTACATTCTGTAACCTGCTATTTGATTGACTTATTAAATGTGATATTGATAACTAGGTCTAATTCTTTATTTCACGACTGATTTGTTTGTTTTTCAGAATTGTATGAATCAAATGAAGTCGTAAAAGCTTTGTGATGATGTTTACGCCGGTCTACAACTTATAGAATTTGTGATTATGGAAGACCATATTAAAATCATTTTTATTCAACAAATGAATTAGTGAAATATAAATATAGCAACTACACTTAGTGTCTTACGTTATAAACCGTGTCAGTATTTATTAATAGTCGATATGACGCTAGAACAAATATAGATAGAGAATAATATGAACTCCTTATAATCCATGGAATGAACAAGTAATAAGAAGGATTATGTAATAATTTATTTCACTTTTAAAATTTAGTTACGCATTTTTTCCATCACCCTGTCACTTAATCCTCTGTAATTACGTGACCTCTGCAAATTGTAATCAATTATGACGTAACTCAAGTTTTCAGTTCTTAAATCCACGGATCATTTAGAAGCTATAAGAATTTCACACCACTTATCTGTCTGTGAACTGCAGTCAACTATTATATCACCCATTCTTAATGTGTTATTGACTGTAAAAGCAAATGACCTTTGACCTTACACTGCATATATATATATATATATATATATATATATATATATATATATATATATATATATATATATATAGTCACTATTGATAACCTACGTCATTTCATTTATTCATATTCAGGTATGTCAACTGTTTCCCACATCACTGTTAAATCCTATTGCATATTTAGTTGTAATGAATGCATACCACTGTTAATCAACATTTCTCCTGGTTTTATTTTGATTCATAAGCGGAATTAATCACATGAACTTAAAATGTACATAGGTCCTGATACGATTTTAATGATAAACGTAATCCCACGAAGGTGAATATGATATGTGGGTGCCTAATCTGCAAAACTGTACGCGGATGTAGGGTTTCTTAATCAATCTTAATTATTACAAACAGCTACACATGAACATCATTGCTATTCATTCCCATAAAAGTAGGAATAAGATGAAAATTGAAATTATGAAAGTTTATTGAAGAATCATTGCTGCAAAAGCAGAAAATCAAGTTTACAAGTTGGTATTAAGAATTCTTAAGTAATAATTGTCCACTTTCTTCTCAACTTCCGTTGCAAAACGTTCACCATACTTCTCAATGATGCGATGTTTATGGATTCTTTGGCTTCGTTGAATACTTACATACACTTCACTCCGTCGTGGTAATGCAGGTAATGTATAATTTTGGAAGTTCTGGGTATTGTGTAACTTCCATCTGCTACAATACCTAAGAAGTTGATGAGCTATGCAGTTAGTATTTCATAATTGATATAGCTTACCTGTAAGATTTCTTCTTTTACTTTCGATAACTTCGTCTGCTGACTCACAGTGAAGTATTACGGGCTTCGAGTTCTCTTTTTCTTCTGACGATAATCTCCTTGTCCATGGATCACATACCATCCATGAACTACTACATGGATGATTGTGTATAATCTTGTAGGATTTGATTACATATCCTTGCTCTTCTAGTCTTACACGGAATTTAGATTGACAATTACGGAATTTAGACCTTAAACATAAGATATTAGTTAAAGATCTTACGATTTTTGCCTCACTTTCAAACCTTCCGATTTCCGTTTGTGACCAAACGTACAATTAAACGATACAAACAGGTATTTGAACCTGACATCCTTCAGCAATCTGCTTTCTGTGTGGATGTAACGAGTATAAGTAGTCTGAGAAGCGATAAAATTATAGTTCCGTACTTTTTGGAACTCTTTTAAGGCGCTTTCAAAATCATCCCACAACACGAAACGCTTGTTCAGTATCATACTTCGAAAGGCATCGGTTAAGTCGACTGAAATGTCACTTGAGGATGAAGCACTAAAAACAGACATTACTAATTATTAAACAGTTATTCCTTGCAACAATAATAACCCAAGGAAATACTACAAATACTTGAGATTTACCTGTGACTTGACATTTCGTTTAGCTTTACTACAATTGTTGGGATCAAAGATCAAATTACAAAGCAACAACAGAGCCAAAGTGCACACTACAAAACAGAGAACGCTAAATTAATGGTTTTGCTATTTATTTCGTGCTTTTTATGTAGCATAGGATGACTTATATATGAAAAAACTTGATACTCATGCAAACCAACCAACCCACGGCAATTGAAATACGGAATGACCGCCTCTAATCAAGCCGTTCAAGGTCGCTGAAACGAAAGGGCGGACACATTTCAAAAGGACCTAACGTTTAAACCGTGCCTCACAAAATTGTGAGTCTACGAAAGTATGTTCACTTAACTAAGGATACTTTTCAAAATGTATAACTTTCTTCCTCCTGTTTCTCTCACTAGGAAACAAGGCTTACAAGCTTTTTTAACAATTTATTACATTAAAAAACTTGACGAACTACTGTCATCATTAGTTTGTCTGTTAGTACCACTTACATCAACTCACTGTTGTTATTTCTAAACGCCTTTAAAAGTCTATTCGTCTTCTGAATCAAAATACACCATAACACTTAAGTGTCAATGTTAATCACCTTCAAGTATTGTTTTCTTTTACATCTGTTGTAGTTGAGGTTATATTTATTGTTCCATCTGTTTTCTTCGAAAATTTACTCATTTTCTCCCCCAATTTTGTGAATTGTGGAGTGTTTGTTATGGAGTTTATAGTTGGATAATAAATTTATTGCTTTTTATGTAATTAAATAACTATAATGCTGCAATTTCTTAACCATGGTACAATAAATTTACTGAATGAGGTTCATGAAATAAGTAACTTAAGCGCTATCGAAAGTGTTGTGTCAGACAGATTTTTTAACACGCTCTTTTCTTCTGACTTATCCCAATTGATAGAAAAATGAAGTGAAACTTCGTAAAAGTTTACAGTTCTGATTTTTATGTCTAGACGTTTTTTTTTCTATCCTTACTACCTCTTTATTGACCTTGATTATTATTAATTCAAGCGACTTGTTGCCTCTCAGTTTTCTATACTTTATATTTGATAACGTTCTCCATGTACTATCGAAATAATGATTAGACGCATCACTTCACAATCAACCGAATTATGTGACTAATAAGTTTGATAAAATACCTCTTTTAGGTTTCTCAAACTAGTTAAAGCCTAATGTCAGTAAATTGCTGCTTTTCTTTCTTCAGTCAGTCCGTCAAACGTAGTGTAGATTCTGGCACTTGTGTACATCGGTCTAAATTGTCATGCCTCTTAAGCAGAGTGAGATAAAATCATCAGGGCAAATACCAGAGTAACAATCGTAATTATGTCATTATTAGTGGCAGAAAAGATCAGGCATTACAGATAGAATTCAAAAGAATATAGATTGGTGAAATACAATAAAATTTGCGGAAATTTCGAAACCTCGGATTCAAGTGAAAAGAGTGAATACACCTAGGGGATGGGAAATGATTTTAAATTAAGTCACTCGAAGTCTAACCACTGGTTATGATAATCACACAGGCCACAGCCAGGTTATCTTGCATCTACGCATATAGCTCAACTCGACAGTCGGTCTTCATAATCAATTGCTGGGCTAGTGTTGGTTTGGTCGCCCCTGACCTTCTAACATATACCTACATCAGTCACCATATCAGTCGATAATGGTTCACTACCTCATCGATTAACTCTCCATACTTGCCTTGCACTCTGTGTCTAATCTCAGAATTGTTAATTCGATGGTGCCTCAATATACAAAGAATGTTTTAAAGACGACTATGATAGAATACTAATTACTTGCAGATATCCTATATTCTTGATGGCCATATTTCAAAGTCATCAAGAGGGAAGCGAATCTTCGCACTGTAGACTCGTCCTTAAGTCCCCAGAAGAATATCTAGCCCACATCACAAGTGATGTAAGTTGGTAAAACAACCCGGGCTGAGTTCTTACCGAAATTTTATCAAGCACCAGCCTACTACAGCCGACAAAACTTCCAAGATTAGTGAAGTATTCGATACACTTAGCGACTTCAATGCTTATTCTTGGTTTGGTCGTTCATGTAAATTAGTTCTGAAGCAGCTTTCCATTTACGGGGAAAGAAACATATTTCAAATACCCTTGCATTGTTGCTTAAGACGTTCAAAAGACATTTTATCAGCGTCGTCACTAAACAAAACTATATCATCCACGCGTTTGAAGTCAAATGGGATAGCAAATCTACTTTTTGTTAGTAAAACTACAAGAATATTATTTCTAAAAGAATGTCTATGACAACTTTAGACAAGAACGGAGGAAGTGGACAACCGCGAAGTGAACCAGTACGAGTTATCGATTTCGAAGACAGTTTAACACAAGCTCTCACTCGACAGTAGAGAGCCTGTACAAGGTTGATATACTTCTTCGATCCGACTTTAATAAAATCTATCGGTTTATAGAACCAAACTTTCTCAACGTGAAATTATTGGTAGTCAGTAGGTATGTCTCGAAAACCTAGCGGTATTAATATCTGGTCTACAAATCCAAGTCTGACACCAGCGTGGTTTTCCAGAGTTCATTCTTCATGAGATCTAGTTACGCATTGAATGGTTGTTAAGGCTAATATCTTAGACACCATATTAATTAAACTGGTCCGTCTACGTTTTTTTAGTGTTTGAGATTGGTTATGAATATATTATTAGCCTTCAGTTGATCTAACAAAAAACTCCAGAAGGTTCAAAACTCCCAGCCGGATGTTCAGATAGATACCTAGACCAATATTAAATAGTGTTTCTTAAATGTGTGACTAAATATTTATTGATCAGATGCTCGTACAGCTTGACTAAAGCTACTACATGTAGTACTGGGCTGCTTTATCCTTTTGTCTGCTATCGTAGAACGTTCATTCACTTATATTTTTCGCCATTAGTATTAGGATTTCATTTTTCCCTCCAGCTGTTTCAAACCGTAATAAAGGGTTTAAGTATCACATGATGTTCAAATATTCTATTTAAGCAAATACTCAAGGAACCTTGACTTTTCTCCTTCTCAAAGTTAATATGATAACCCAGTTATTGACTATCTATACTATTTCTTCATATCAGTAAGTTCTCACTACGCTGAGGTAATAATTTCTAAAAATAGTATCAGATATTTAGTTCAAACCATATTTACAAAGTTAAGCTACAAGATTTCGTGTTATGGCTTGAAAACAAACTTTCCGAAAACAAATTATCTCGTAAAAGTGAGGAAAAAGTAATTCTATACTTTTTAAACACTATTGACCAGTGAAATAAGGTTCGCATATGTACTTACGTTGTCAAAACGAATGATACATTAGTAGAATTCCTGGTGATGTGTTTTCCTTTCTATTTTACAGATATTTCAAAAGTCGACCTCTGGCAAATGGGGGCCCTGTTTTCAGCCTTCTGTGCAATTGCTACTTTTTTACTTTGTATTTTCAACCGTGAACCAGAAACGTTTTTTTCGGGCTTATCATCAAAAACAGCATATCGTTTTTGTGGTTTGAAATCATACGAAGATAAAGTGTCTGTTCAATTTAAAAGATGCTCCTTGGTGCATGTTAATGTATTACTCAGACATGGAACTAGAGCACCAGATTCCAAATCAATTAAATCTTTCACAGATTTACACGAACGTCTTAAAGAAAGGTAATGTCTAAACACTAATATGTGTCAAAAGATTGAAGTATTCTCTCATGTTTGAATTTTCTTATGTCACCATAATTCCAATTTGATCATCACGAAAAGTTTTGAGATAGACTATCCGTAACAGCATTTTTGTTGATATATAAACTAGACCTAGATATTGATTTCAAATACTGTTAGTCTATTGTATTTGTGTTTCATTGTAAAGTGGTTACTTCCCGCTTTTAAAGTGATGTAATGTATAGTAAGGTATCAACAACCAGTAACATTAAATACTACTGTTAAACTGACTAGCAGTGAAATTATGTAGTTTCTGAAATGAAATAGTAACACTTAGTGCGTAGACAAATTTGATTAACGGGTACGAATTGATAAAATAACGGATCCCAGTCGAAATGTTACCGTTTATCCATCATACTTCTTTTAATGACAGGAAAGCAAAAACACGGGAAACATATTTAACATAAAAGGCTATGAACAGACATCACAATTAGATGTAAGGTGTCTGAAATTAACCATTGGATGGAAGGTGATAAATTCTTGTCGATCGATTTAAAACTACCACTCTTCACTCTCCATCCATTGATTTCGACCATTTCGAAGCTAACTACAAGCTTACACAACTTTAACCAGCTACCAGTGACGTCATCAGTTTTATATTGTGTTTTAGTCTGTTTGGGAGGTCCATTTATCATCACTCAGTTATTGACCGTTATTCTTTATTGACTGATCAGGACTCCAAGTTGCATCAAATTCACTGAACTTATCAGGTACATTTTCCTTGTATGTACCCAGTTGCATACTTGAGTATCTTCGAACAAACACATAACCATAGATTAGGCTGATGCTTTAGAAAATTAAATCTTTTTGTTGACTTTCTCGGATGTCTAGGTGATATAACATATATATCCATTAATGGATCGGTGTTAGCAACCAGTAAGTCAATGTCTTCTTTATTGCTTGAAATCAGTGCTAATTAGTATCAAATTAATGCTTGAAAGAGGCTTTAGGAGGCAATTACTGTTATTTGTTCATTTGATAGGGATTAGATAAACAATTTTAAGAATTTTTCATGATCCATTCTTTTTTCGAATATACTGATATCTCTTTAACCCCAAAAACTTGTAAATTTGATCGTTTTATTTATACTAGATTTCATCCCAAGTGGACTTAGATGAAAACGACAAATACCCTTTGTGAATTATTATCATTCCGACCTTTGATTTAACCACTAGATCAAACAGTTCATAAGTAACAGCTGGTTAGAATTCAATTTTCAAATGAGTCACCTAACCTCAAAGCTAGGGCTACACCTTCCCTGTAAACAGACGGAAATTGAATATTTTTATTACATGTGATTAAAGGCTAAGCCACTTCTCTAATGTTATTTTTGATTGGTTATACCTATGAAAACTCCATGTTATAGTTTATTTATTTATTTATTTTAACACATAGATATTGGTACAAGGAGGCACCAAATACATATGCTCCACACAGATCTCATTTGATATGTGTGAGGGCTGTGATACTGCCTGGGTGCCCAAACCGAAGCAGGTGATTATCTTAGGGGGCCACGCCCAGAGCCTTCGAACTAAAGGTCTAGTCCGTAAGGCAGTGAAGCATCGTAAAGAGATGCAGTCCGATGGTAACCGGTGACCAACGATTGGTTTATAAATCTTTTTTTCTTAGAGTACCGGGGCACGTTTGCACCATTGGTTTGGAATCAGGGTTCTCCAACTTCTCTAGGTGGACTCTCCATGTCCACCAACCCGGTTAAAGCGCCGGATATTCGCTGTTCGTCCTATCAATTTCATAAACAATACCCCCGCCACGAGAAGGCAATCAGTAGGACTTCCCTGGCAGAGGATTTATACGCGTGGACATGTAAGAGCATTTCGAGGGGGAGGTTGGACTCTCCCCACTCTCGGGCACTTAGGGGAAACATGTTATAGTGCGAAAACTAAGTTTTATTTGAAATCAAAATCCATAAGCTGATATAAAGTTGCGTACTTTGAGATTTTCAATCAATTCATGATGGCCTTTTAAGGCACTGACATTAATTGATCACTGAACAGTAACCAATATCATTTTTGTCTAATGTCTATCATGTCCTATCAATGAAGTTGTAGCAATGTGAGTAATCTGATTGAGTCGGCACCGCATACATTGTTTTTTGGTGTTAGTTAGTTGAAGACAGTCGACAGAATACACTAAACATGGGTTCAAGTCCTACAGGGAGTATCATTTCCTTTGAGATTGTGGGCACACCTTGCTGACGAGTGCCAACTAGCATAAAAGTTCAGGTCCAAAGTTTGCTATCGATCGTTTCTAACTACCAAGCATCAACAAGTTCACCCAAGGTCAAGGCACTAGTGGCCATATCGCAACCTGATCGATGGAACTCAATCATCACTAAGGACTAGGCAAACACAACATTGATTATTGCTTAGTATTCAATGAATGTAAATACAAGAAATAACTGTTTATCAATCAAATATTCATTCAATCTCTGAGTCATTGAGATAAACTTACTCAACTATAATTTAGTATATATATATATATATATCAAAATTTTTGTCTATAGGTTTTGCACATGAACTGTTAACATGTAGAAACAAGTTTATGTTTTCATTCACTAGAACCAGTGTAATTAGTTCTGAGACCATATCATATATGATCATCAACTGTTTACTTTTAATATTCAAGCTGTAAATCTTTTTTATTATCAGTGAAATACGTTTAGTAGGTGATTTCATCAGATTAATTTCTTGTCTTTTTTTTGTTGATAAATAAAGCTTTTAATATTCTTGCAAATGTGTAATTATTTTAGTTATAACAATGGATCACCAATTCCTTACAAACTTCTAACACATCCAATACCTTTTAAAAATGCTGCTGCAAAAGAACTTTTACCTAGAGGATTTCAAGAGCATGATGGTTTAGGCAGACGTTTTTTTAATCTCATGCGACAACATTTCAATTTTACAATTGAAAATGTTAATTTCTACTCGAGTTCCATTGATCGTTGTATTGCAAGCGGGAGAGCATTTTATAACGGTGTGAGTAATCACTGCATATTTTTCTCATTAACTCCAGTAATCAGAATAATATTTCTCTATTAATATAGACTAGTGGAGATTGTCAGGTCTTTATTGAAATCGTGGACCGATCAATGTTAGACTACAGTTGAAAACTTGGAGGCAGTAGACTCCCGTTTCGTCTTTGTATTGGACTTCTTATCAGCGTGCATCCAAGATCCCTCACACGGAACTCGGACCTAAGACTTTTGGTCTCGAACGGATGCCTAACGTCAATGGGGGTCTAACATTAATCGGTTTGTAGTTTCGGTTATACTTCTCTGTTTGCTTACATTTTATCTAACATGGCCATGTTGTGAATAGAGAATTACAACATTCAGGATCATTTACCATATTCTGTCGTATTTTCGCAACGAACTTTTACATGTGACTGAGTTTAAAGTGAATAGAATCAACAAGTCTAATATTTATAACCAGAAAATTTTCATAATATCTTTATTCTTTCAATGGTCAGAAATGAGTTATTATATCATTTCACTAATTTTCACCTACTATTTCAATTTTTAAACATCTACTATTCACACTGTTCATCTCATCAACACGTAACGTTTAATGATTATCTTCAATAATTTTGTTTAAACTTTTAACATACGTTGTATGTTGAAACGTTTGTCCATTTTATCATCCAGTAATTATTATTTTTATCATAACAACTTATGTCATCATAATGTTAATATGTTCTTGTTATTAGTTGCATAAATCCCCATTATTATGATAATCTAATAGCCGAGATGATTTGCTACGTTTTCAATGTTCCATATGTTGTATTTAGCACTTTCGTCAATTTTGATGAGTTAGCATTGTACATTATGGCCATAACTTCCATGATATTTATGTTTTTTTTCTAATTGTTATACCGAACTACACTACAGTGATATAGTCACAACAAATGGTTATGTACGATTTCAAATACTTTGAGTGAAATCTTTAATTTTCAGGATTTAACACTCATTCACTAAAGAATTGTTGAAAGTGCTGGATATAACACATTTAATGAACTTTTCACAGATTTAAATCATGAGTCAGTTGAAGCTAGACCACCATTGAAAACCTGGAAGCACTGGACAGCCGTTTCGTCCTAGTATGGGACTCCTCAGCAGTGCGCATCCACGATCCCGCACCACGCGGGGCTCGAACCCAGGACCTACTGGCTTCGCGCGCGAGCACTTAACCATTAGACCACTGAGCCGGCATCCAACGGTGTTAATGTCTAACTTCATGGTCTAGCTTCAACTGACTCATGATTTAAATCTGTGAAAATTTATAAAATCTCCACAAACCCCTTCTGACATTTAATGAACATTGAAAATGCTACGAATAACTTTAACCAATCAAGTTTCTATTAGAATAGATAAAATGTGGTTAGCAGTGAAATCTGTGACGAATGTTTTGTTCTATTTGATACTCGTCAACTAGATGTACTCGCATACCAGTTTATTTATTTATTTATTTTTCTCAACACAAATATTGGTACAAGAGGGTACCAAATATATATGCGCCACACCATATTTGTGTGTGTGGGCTGTGCTACTGCCCGGGTGCCCAGATCGAAGCAGGTGATTTTCTTAGGGGACCACACTCCGAGCCTTTGATCTAAGGGTCTGATCCACAAGGCAGTGGAGCATCGTGAGGAGATGCATTCCCATGATAGCCGGTGATCAACAATCGGTTCATACGCCATTTGTTCCCGCAGGATACTGGAGCCCATGTGCACCATTGGTTTGGGATCCGGTTAAAGCGCTGGACATTCGCTTTTCGTCCTCTCATTTTCGTAAACAACATCCCCGCCACGAGAAGGCAGTGAGTAGGACTTCCCTGGCAGAGGCTGTATACGCGTGGCCGTGTGAGATCAGTTCGAGAGGGAGAGCGGACTGTCCCCACTCTCGGCCATACCAGGGCATTTGGGGGCACTCTCATACCAAAGTTGATTTTCACTTTTGAATTTGAAGCCCCAATACCTTTTTTCCTTCAAACACTAACATGTTATCCACTTAGCTATTGAGTTCAGACAGTTAAAACAACATTCATTCGTTTTTTATTTTCTATTTAATACAATATATATTGATTTTTATTTTGTTTAATATTTATATTTGTAAAATTCACTTATTCATTAGTTTATTAATGGATCAACTATAAAACCAATATGGAATCGTACATTATATTGTGGTAATGATGAAATACCAAATAGTTGTTTACTCAATAATCAATTATCAGAAATCAATAATCATGATCATTATATAAAGAAGAATATAACAATTAATAATTATTTATTAAGATTTTTTGCTGATTGTAAAAATTATATTGAAAATATTGAAAAGAATAAATCAGCTATTTATGAATATTATCAATTTCTTAATTCAAATTATATTGTTAATTCTTATGAAAATTTTATTAAACGATTTAATTTAAAACGTGAAAATTATACATTTGGTAAGTTTGATTAATTATTTTATTAGATTAATTCATTAATTAATTGATTGATCATTGAATAATGATTCATGTTATTTTGTATATCTAGTCCTTGTTAGTGCAAATTAAATTACAATGTAGCCAATTAGTCTAGATGATTTGATATTACGTTGTGCATTATGTTGAGATAAGATGATGGTTGGAGGTAGTCAGCAGGAAATCCCCAGCGCATCAAATACTTAATCATATCTCTGTAGATTGTATATATTACATGGAAATTGACACTAAACCTAAACTCTAATTGTAAACTCATAATCCTGAAATAAACCTTAACCTATTACCACTATATTCTATGAACGAACTGATCAGATAATACATGGGTACAAATCATTTCTACATGATAGCTGCTGTCAGTTCATTATTATTGTTAATGGCTTTATTCAATATTATATTTTTGGTACAATATCGAATGCTCAACACAAAGTATTTCAACAAATTAGTTTCAAAAAAAGGAAAGGAAACTGATAACTGTACGCATATATTCATCAACTAAGTAGATAAACTATCTGGAAGTAAATGGAATTCTTTTTTAAAAGATTTAAATCTGTACATTTTAGTTAGAAACATGTTTAAGAATACAAGTTATTGACCAGGTTAGCTCTAACAACCTATTCGTCACATAGTATATGTTATAACTTATGACCTTGTGCCCTATTGATATGTCACGTAATTATACCACCAATTAGAGAACAGTGACTTATCGACCGGACCAATGACGCATAAAACCCGTTCTTCCTGCCTAATCCTGCCTGTTAAGTTCAGAATACCAATCTTAGCTTTTGCTATTTGAATCATGTATTTCAAACATACTGGGTTTATATAATACAAACAAAACAGATCACGTCGTACCATCAAATAAAAAATAACATTTGTACAAGATCTAGCCAAAAGTGGCTGTAAATATGGGAGACTGTAATTAATAGACTGGGTATAACTCAAGAACTGTCAATCGTATAATAATAGTTTATAGTTCAAAACAAAGCTTATTATAAGAGGAATATGAGTAAATATAGTTTAGTTACTTAACAGTTATACAATAAAAAGTGTATGTATAGTACTAGTCCATAAATAGATCACAACAGTTATCATTCATTATTCTCATCGGGATATAACAGACCACATACATTACACAATTAAACATCTGTAACCAACAAATATAAATAATTGACAAAGTCATGTAATTACTCTTCCTCAATATGTGAATACATGTCACAGATAATTGGGGAAAAATCATTGTTGTATATGATTCTTAGTACAATCCATCTAGTCATTCCTCATCATTAAAGATTTGTCTATCACAAAGTTGTATTTTTTAAGAACATAACCGGAACTAGTAAACCACTCAACTATTGGATATTCATTTTTGGTTTTTTGAAACTTTCCAATGATCATTCACTTTAGATTATTGTATAAAATTAATTCTCTAATCAATGCACTTTTGTTATGCGTTCCGCATTATTCAATCTGTCTATCAACATGTGTTTCTTTTGACAAAATGTGACGCAAAATTAGTCAATCATAAACAATGTAGAACCCTAATGTTCACTGATTCAAGCTCCCATACAACGTCAGCACCATGAGGTAGAATTAACAAATTGAATACTAAAGTGTTGGTATCAGTGGCGGTAAAAAAAAACACTAAGCTTAGAGAATATGATCCAATTTAAAGACTTAATTAACTAGTTTGCTTGAATCAATTTAATATTTTCAGAAGAAATCATCATTTCCGAAATTACGTACTTATGTCCGTTACTCTTAGTGGAGCATAGGCCGCTGACAGAGACTCCCCAATTAACCCTCTCCTGGGTTCTCCTTTATAGTTTTTTCCAAGTGATCTTCATCCCTTTGATGTTTGCATCCATTTCCCAACGCGGTGTGTTTTTTGGTCCTCCTCTTTCTTTTTTTTCCTTCGGAATTCCGAGTAATGCAATATAATTACTTCCTACCCACTCCTAGTGTCTTTCCCTAATTTCCTCTTCAACTGGAAGCTGGCTTGTTCTCTCCCACAGTAGGCTGTTGCTAATGACATCCATCAAATCTGACTGGGTTGGTGTTCACTGTGCTATGTTTCAGGATCTTGCTTTCTCCCTTGTGTATGTTGAGGCCTATTGCTGCTACACTGGCTGTCTTCACCTACATTTGTTGGTCATCTGCGAAGTCTCGATCTTCTAGTTGTATCCAAGTTGTCCATTGTATTCCGTGCTTCCTCTGAGATGTAGAGGAAATAATAAGAGCAAGAAGTTTTGTCTGGCACCGCTCTTCACTTGCAATGCATCTGTAAGCTGTCCTCCATACACGACTTTGCAGTGTAGTCTTTTGTATGAATTCCGTATGGTGTTGACGACCCTCTCAGGTACACCGTCGAAGAGCGTTTCATGAGGTTATCCTATCCGTGCTGTCAAGTACTTTCTCGTTGTGGAAGCTGACGTATAGTGACGAGTTCCATTCAACTTTTTTGTTAACAATGATTTGTAGTGTCTTTTTTTCTTGTACTGATAGTAGTGCGATGCCCTTGAAGTTCTCGCACTTATTGAGATCTTTTTTGGTATCTTTATGAGTTACTCTTCTTTCCTGTCTGTTGGCATTTATTCTTCCTCCTAAATCTGTCTGAATGAAACGCGTAGCATCTTCGGCGTTACCTCTATGTCTGACTTCAGTGCTTCGGCTAGTATGTTTTCAGGTCTTGCTGACCATGTTGATTTCTTCAATCGTTGGTAGGGTGACATCTATAGGAAAGTCTGTAGGTGCTGCTTCGATGTCTGATGGATACAATGGAGCTGGCTTATTCAAGAATTATTCAAAGTGCTGTACCCATCTTTTCCTCTGTTCGTGAATCTCAGTGATTGTTTTGTCGTCTTTGTCCTTGACTGGTCTCTCTGGTTTGCTATATTTCCCTTTCAGTTTCTTCGTCGTGTCATATAGCTGTTTCATATTTCATTCTCTTGCAGCTTTTTCCACTTTTGTTGCTAGCTCTTCCATGTATTTCTACTCGTCAGCTCTAATGTTCTCCTTCACTTGCTTGTTTGCTTGTGTATTCAGTTTGTTCCTTAACTTTCTCTGCTCTTGTTCGGCTGTTGTTAATCACCGTCTTCTCGTTTTTTTCTTGAATCTTGTGCAAGGTTTTGACAGATCCACTCCTTATGACGATGCTTCTTGCGGCTCAGCCCCTCCTGACACGTTGAAGATAGTGTTTCTTTGATCCTTTTCCAGTTGTCTTCCATAGTAGTTTCTTCTTTTTCGAGTGGATGTTGTAACGTTTGGAACCTGTTATTGAGAGCTACCTAGAATTCGTTAGGTTTGTCAGTATGTCGAAGGAAGGCTGAAATGAACCTTTGTGATGCCGTTTTTCCAGTCGTCCAGTGTTTTTTTATTTCTGTCTCATCTTGGCAACTATCAGGTGTCGGTTCTCACGTCTTCCATTGTCCTTCTGAAATTTTTATTAATACAAATATGATCTATCTGGTTCTCCGTGGTATGATCCGGTGGGACCCATGTAACTTTGTGTATACGTTTGTGTGGGAATATTGTGCTGCCTATAAGCATTTTGTTGAATGCGCATAAATTTGCAAATCTGTCGCCATTCTTATTCCTTTCTCTCAGTCCATATCGTCCAATGATATCTTCATACTCGGTGTTGTTCAACTTTGGCGTTTAGGTGTCCCATCAGGATTTTTAGATCCTTCGCTATGATTGATCGAAGGCTGTCGTAAAACTGATCTTTATAGTAGTCAATGCTATCATTAGCGGGTGCATAAAACTGGGTAACATTCATTGATTCTCTCCTTTTCGTGCTTCTCTGGATAGCATCAGATCAACTCCTTGTGTGTATGGAGCACTTTTTTCTTCGTGACTAGAGTACAACAACAACAACTCTTCCGAATCTAATCTCTTCTGTCTAGCTTGGGTCCAGTAGATTTCTGACGACAGTCAAGTTGTATCTCCCTACTTCGATACCTATTTGATTAGTCCTCCCGGTCTCCTACACTGTCAGGATATCCCATGTACCCATAAAAACTGTTGCTCTGGTTGTTAGAAGGGGCATCGTTTTAGGTAAGGTTGTTTTCTATTGAATTTGGTTGCTAACTCTATGCCAAACCCTCCTTTATCTGGATTTGTGGACGGTAGTAACCCTCTATGAGGACTACAGACTATAAGTCTAAGTGTAAGCGTATGAAGCCAGTTGCTTAATGGTTAAAACTCTGTATCTTCAGCCATTACGACGCCTATTGTAATCCCTTTCCTTTTTCTTCATTTTGAGCAACCAGAAAACATCACTAGTACTTACATAAACAGTGCCTGTGTGCGTGTATGTGGCTGAAAGCTGAAACATAAACCTTTGTTCTGCAAATAAGTTACGTCATCGTGGTTTTTACTTTCTGTTCTAAAATTCAAAATTCTGTTCATAGATGATTTAAAAATAATATTTTTGGCTTGTGCGTATGAAGTTGCTGCAATGGATGATAATGACGATCTATCACCTTGGTGCAGTCTATTGACACCTTATGATTATCCAGTATGGGAGTATTTAGCAGATTTAAAGGTAATCCCATTTTAAAAATAAATATCTATCGGTCATTTGTTTTCAGTGTTTCTCCTTATTTTGTCTAAAACTTTCAGTATAACATCCAAAAGAAGTGATTTGTGAATAACATTAAAGATTAAATTAAAGATTGAATATCGTTTTTGGACTTACCAGTGCCCATCAACACAATTTTTTTAAAGAGGCAGAGACGGGTGGTGGCTAGCAGTGGAATCCAAGACACTCGTTTCGTCCTATTTGGAATCCGTCAGCTGGATGTACTTGCATACGAGAGTTGATGTCCACTCAGTACCGTTCACATCAAATACCATCGAGTTATCCACTAGCTTGTGCAATGGGGTAAAGTTCAATTCGTTTTTGTATTGGTTGTTTGAATCTTCTCATTGATGGTCAGAACTGCAGTTGACCAGTCTCTTATAATACTTGTGACTTAAGGCAATATCGAGGCAATCCACATAAGATTCACATATGCCAATAAAAAACTGATCAACTGCAGTCTTAAACACCAATGGGAAGATTTAACTAACCAATACAAAATAGATTTTTTTTTAATGTATGGAAAATTAACTATTCTAGTTTCAGATCCAAATTGACGTCTGTAACTTACAATAATGTTACTTTACATCTTGAGTTCCAGCATTCTTTTATATATAACTTCTCATTCTGTATTTTAGAATTGTATTCTCAATCTTTAGTTTCCCTCATTATCTCAATTCTTACGTTATTCATCGTGCAAATTTTATGTGGGAACTTGGGCTAATGCATATTTTTTGCCAGCTTCTATGTTGATGATAACTAAGAGTCCAATTACGAACAAATCTACGTTGATCGTATAAGTTGATTTCAATTAAAAATTGTTAAGTTCTGATATATCGTAGCACAATGGGCAGCAGCTATGGGCTCAATTCCCTAACAAAGTAATAGGAGGTGCATGACTGAAAAATTCTGAACTGGGAAGAAATATTTTCTTAATGGCGATTAGTTTTAAACGGCTCTATTCACTTGTAATTGATTCATAATTAAAATTTGAGTTTTCGTTTATTATTCCTTAAGTGTTCTGTAAAATTAAACTTGATATTGCCTAGTGTATATGTGTGAGGACAGTCAAGGGGTGAACTCAAGGAAACCCTAAGAAGCTCAGAAAGAGCTGAAGATATTCCATCCAATCACATTTTGGAAGAATATTCCAGAATCCCTATGTGAGTCTTTCCTATTGGACAAATGCTAATAACTCCCTTTATAAAGATTGGAGGACTATAGCGATGATTTCGTTTTGACTAAAAACTATAAATACCTGACAGTTTCGCACCATAATTGACACTATTTGGAATAACATTCCTTTCATTTGTCTTCTGTCTTCTCATTTGCGACTTGGGAGTGTTCTAGCGTCTAGTGCTCAAGTTATACGCAGCATATTCAGAATCTAAGCTCTAGATATAACAATATGTATATCGTAAATGTTGGTTGTTATATTTACTAATAAAACTGTTGAAATTTTCAATTTCTTTATCACAGTTTTCTTTCAATAGTGACATTTTTCCTTTCGGTAGTTAAATCATATACTTTTTTTTCATTTCAGCATTATTGGCGTAAATCGTACGGTTATGAATTGAATTATGAACAATCATGTCCTTTACTTGGTGAAATAATACAACAAATTTATAATGTAGCTATAAATTTCCAGAAAGACAACTATAGTCAGTAAGTTTTATTATATAAAGATGTCACTCATGTGTTGACGAACATTTTTATTGTTGGCATGTTTGTATGTGATGTGTTGCGAATTGAACGCTATATTCGTTTCTTAAGCTATTCTGTAACCCCCAAGGTAGAACTATACAACGAGAGAGAAGACTCAAAGTATGCGAGAAGTACTTTACTACAAGGTTTATTACAATAAAGAGAATACAGGGTTTTTATAATATTTTAAATGTCCTTGGGTTGCTAGAAGATTCTGTATTGCTACTAAACATAGTAGCAGTGTAGCAATCAGAACCTCTGCATTTGACGTTTTACCCCCTTGATATTTCTGGCTAAAACTTCAAGTAAACGCTGAGTTGAGGAAACGCTTCTTAGTGTTTTCCTGATCCTTGCTTGACTTTTCGAGAAATTTTCTGGGTCACCCCAACAGTATGTAAGTACATGCAAGCTAGACCACACTGTTCAGACATATGAATAATTTCTTTGTACTAAATTATGATATTAGTTCAATAGTACAACGTAGACGCATATGCAACACAATAATGTCACATCTAATCAAACTCCCTATATGATCACAAAATTTCTGTTTCTTTCCAGTAAAATACATTTGGTTAAAACAAGCAATTCTGAAACCAAATAGTATACGTCTGAATATGATTATGATTATAGTTATTTAATGCTTGAGATGGTTCGAAAAACACTGATTTTGGTGAGTTGAACAAATTACACAAATACCACTTAAATGATTATCATATGAAGAATTGTTTATTGAGGATAGTACACTGTTGTCCAGCAAATAATGTTTGCTAGTGGTTTTAACCTACTCTGATTTCTACTCTGTCTGTTTTGGTTTAAGCATCTGAATATGATATCATTAGTCTTTATACAAAATCATGACTCATTTTAAAGTAAATAAATTTGTCAACCATAAGAACGTAGAAACTGGCACAAATTTACATCAGTTTAAGTTGCCACAACACATCGACACTATAAAATGAAATTATCACGATGAATAAAGAAAATAAACGTAGAGTATGCCACCGAATTAATAGGAACCAAGAATGCCATGCGACATGAACTAATCGAATATGGGACTTGTCATAGTATGATGTTCAGTACCAACTATAATATGGCTAGTTTTGATAAATAAAACATGTTAAGAACATTTATATATGAAAATTAAAAGGTCAACTAGACAGTTTAAGGTTAAGTCATAACAAAGAAAAAAAGTGATAAAGCACACAAAAACAAATGTGATTACCACTCTGGATAATAAATCAGTATTACCAGGGTAGGTTAAGTGTAAGGACAATTTGTTTTTGAACACATAAAGGAGGTTTCAATTTCCGTATAGCCAAGGCTTCAATAAACCTTAACCTTAAGGTTTTTGTGTACTTTATTATTTATCCTTTGTTATGACTTAACCTTAAACTGTCTAGTTGACCTTTTAATTTTCATATATAAATGTTCTTAACAAACAAAACAACATTAGATATTAAATTCACTTGGTATTGTTTGGCTTGTACCTTCCCATTGAGGTTTAAGATTGCAATTGATCAGTCTGTTATTGGCATATGTGCATACTGTGCGTATTGCCTCGATATTGCCTTAATTTACGAGCATTATAAGCAAAGATGGATAGTGCCTAGCAGTGGAATCTAGGACGCGCGTTTCGTCCTATTTGGGACTCGTCAGCTAGATGTTCCTGCATCTCATTGCTTACAAAAAGCGTTAGATATTAAGGTTGATATTTTGGCTTCAAGATTAGGATTTAAAGTTTGCGATTTAGGATTAGATTTACTATTTAAGATTGGAATTTGGATTTTATGATTAGTGCCCAATCCCCACCTTAAACTATAGCAGTTAAATCTCTCTCTCTCTCTCTCTATATATATATATATATATATATATATAATACTGTCTTCTGATTGGCTAAAATAAGTCAAACTCCCAAGGTCGTTCGTCATTGAACCCTAGTTCTGTCCCGAAACAGAAGCAGTAGTAGTAATAATAATTATTGTATGATCAATGTGAGTAAACGATAAACACGAAATAGTGCTGGATCAGTGAGTTGGGTTGACATTGTTGAGAATACTATCTTGAATCAATTTATTGAGGGGTGGGGTACAGGTAGTGGGGATCTATAACTTTTTTAGTGTGTTTATATCCTGTTTAGTTTTATGTCTCTTATCATGAAAACGTTTCTACCGAATCCATCTATCTATCTATCCCTTATTTTACATTTCGTAATTTGTGTAGAAATAATCCAACATTACATCGTGGAAGTTTTTGGTTCGGGCATGCAGAAACCGTTCTACCTATTGTCGCTGCTTTAGGTATATTCAATAGCTCAGTCGGTCATTCGACTTTACACAAGTTAACAGCAGATAGCTTTGATGAAAGATTAAGAATGATCTATGATACAGATGTTCCATCGCCTACAATGTTTCGCACAAGTTATATTGCACCATTTGCTGGCAATGTGGCTTTTCTATTATATTACTGTCCTGATTTAGGTGTGTTGAATTCGTTGGCTTTTCCCAATTTTATGTTTTTTATTAATATTTCTGATGTATGAGCAATTATTTTTTTCGTTTTCAGTATTTCATGATACTTCAGTTTATCGAGTTTAAAAGTAAAGGCGTGAATAAACCGCAAACATTGATTATATGTATCTTTAAACTATTACTCGCATTTACTGTAACTACCAATTTAGTAATATTGGTTTGGCTTAGAGTACCAAATAAAATTACCAGGTCGAGTGATGCGGCGATATATTTTGATTATTTGAGATGGTTAGGACATACTTTACGCATGTCTAACTGACGCCTATATCAATGATTACTGTTGTAAGAAGAATGAGTTGGAAAGCAACACAGTCTAAGGGTGGCCAATCTATGGAGTTGTTAACTGCTACTACAAGCGTAGTTGGTTGGAAACGTTGGGTAGTATGGTTTGAAAATTAGCCACACTCACATTCACTGTCTATCATCATACAGATGTTCGAGTTCAGTTTTATTTCTGACTTCTCATTCTTCGGTTTCGCTTGCTTCTTTTGAACTATATCTTATATTTCGACTTATATTACGGTTGGAACGAAATCCACCCTCTTGTTTGTTTGCTCTACACATTCGTCTCAGGTCTTACACCCTAACCAATCTAATTCAGTCTAAGTAGTATAGTAGTCTAATTGGACAAATGTGGGGTTCGAACCCATTTACGTAATGAACTTGGAATAAATTGCATTACAAGTCTTAACCATTCAGTCTGTATATGTAATAATAAGACAATTTGTTCTTCACTCAACAACTTTTCTTTTACTGATCATATTAATCAGAAGTGTTTTTGATATATTACTCATTATTTAGTATTTCCAGTGTCAACAAATCATTTTAAGTGAATATAATTAGTCTTCGTATGTTTTACATATAATAACTAATTAATAACCTGTTATATATCCAAGTTAATAGAAATTTAATCCTTTCATAAAGAACAAATGCCTCATATCTGGTCTGAAAAATCAATGTTATTTCTCTCCCACCTCACATACCTAATTTCACTTATACACCGAAAAAAAACCTAAAGATCTTGAGTTCTATCCTTTAAAATGTCGAGTGTTGGAGTTTTTACAGTAAATCAGCATATTTATTATTATTATTTCTGTAATTTCCATTATTCCTCACATTGATTTTTATTTCTTCTAAATACTATGCTCAAGTTGATTACATTCAAGGAACTACTTGTTTTAAATTCCCTTGATTATATTCATAAACCCATACACTGTCATTATGACATAAAGTTTTATTGATGTCGTGTTGTACCGTCAGTTTTATTTTTCAGTGAATTAGGATTTATATATATATATATATATATATATATATATATATATATATATATATATATATATATATATATATATATATATATATATATATATATATATATATATATGGCTCTTCTATCGCACAACAAATGCAGGAGAAGACGACCAGTGTAGCAGCAGCAGTAAGTCTCAACATACACAAAGGGAAAAGCAAGATTCTCCAATGCAACACAGCATGGAACAATCCAATCACAATTGACGGAGAAGGTTCGGAAGATGTAAAAACCTTTAAATATCTGGGCAGCACCATTGATGAACACAGTGGATCTGATGCAGATGTGAAGGCGCGGATCGGCAAAACAAGAGCAGCATATCTGCAATTGGAGAACATCTGGAACTCAAACAACTGCCAAACAACACCAAAGATAGAATTTTCAATACAAATGTCAAGACAGTTCTGCTGTTTGGGGCGGACACTTGAAAAACTAAGAAAGCCATCATCCAGAAAATACAGGTGTTCATTAATAATTGCCTACGCAAAATACTTCAGATCCGTTGGTCAGACACTATCAGCAACAACCTACTGTGTGAGAGAACCAACCAGTTCCCTGCGGAAAACCAAAGAACACATTGCGTCGAGAAACGGAGACAGATATGAGAAGAATGAATAACAACTGGATAGAACTAGATAGGAAGGTCCGGAACAGATTGGGTTTAAGAATACTGATCGGCGGCCTATGCTTCATTGGGAGTAACAGGCGTAAGTAAGTAACTAAACAAATAAATGAATGTCCAGTACAACATAGCATCCGAAACCATTTTTCTTCAGCAGACTGGTGTTACGACGAAAACATGATATAAAATGATATAATCACCTGAAAATAAAATTGAAAACTCTATGATGAAAAACTCAAGATGAGATATTACCGAATTCAATACAAAATTTACAGCATACATTGAATTTATTTATTTTTGAGTAAGGATTCTACGTTAGGCATAAAAAAGTGTATGAGAAATTTGTTATAACTTCTGATCGCCGATTAGAGGGCATTGACTTATCGATCGGATCAATGACGCGTAAAACACGTGCGGTCAGCCTAGAGTCCTAATTGGCCCTGCCTCCTGCCTTGCCCAGCCAGTTAAATCCAGAACACCAATCCGAGCCTCTGAGATATGAATCGTTATACTTCAAACATACTGAGTTTATATACCAATCAAACAGACCACAACGTACCAATAAAATATGAAACAACATTTGTACAAGAATTAGCCAGATGTGGCTGTGAATGAGGGAGGTAGTAATTAATATACTAGGTATAACTCATGAATGGTAAAACGTATAATAATAGTTTATGGGTCAAAATAAAGCTTATAATAAGAGGAATATGAATATGCATAGTTTAGTTACTTAATAATTATACAATAGAAATATACGTTTGGTATTGGTCCATCAATAGATCCCAAAAGTTACCATTCATTATTCTTGTTGGGACATAAAAAAATTGTATTTTCAAAGAATTATTGTAATCACGACTAATGAACATATATATTTGTAAATGTATTCTCAAGAGTTGATTTATTTCTCTAGATAGTTGAATGTAGTCAACAAAAAAATCTAATTAATCTAAGTTTCTCACTAGTTTGCACTCATAATCAAGGCTTGCCTGAAATCTTTTAGAAATTAGTTCTCTCTGATAGATTCGAAGCCTTGTCAAACAGTTTCATTACCTAACATCTCAATATAATTCATGTGATATTAAGTTTCTTGGATTAGTTTATCAACGTGCTCTACCGAATTTGATCTATGTTATAGACTAGGCAAACATACTATTGGTCTCAATTGAGTGATTAATCAGTTGATTTGTATAATCAAAACAGGTTTTTTTTTATATACTACTATACTTGATTTACTATCCAGTCATAATATCCTATTAGTTTATTCCATTCGGCTTAATACATAAATGTATTATTTTAAATAATAATTAAATGAGAAAAGTCACGATCTAGATTGAAATTCCTTATTATAGTTTAGTCAAAGGCATATGAACTGATAAATTAAACTGTTACATACTACTAGTTATACAATTTATTACTAATAACTAACCTATAATTTCCATTAAATAATAAATGAATAGTTGATTCGATTTCACTTTGATTGTTGTTGTGTGTTTTTTTCCAAGAAGATTCTGATAATGATCTGGATAAATTTCGTGTCAAAGTATTAATCAATGAGAAAACAATTGCTTGGCCATTAGCTAGTTCAATACAACCGCCTACATTAGATCATCCAGGTGAAACAAATGCTTCTCTAACAACTATATTACAATATTTCAACGGTTGTATGCCTAATAATTATGATAATAATAAAGTTTGTTCACTTCACAAGACGTTTTAGATACATAATTCCTTGTGAATAACTACGATCTACTGATTATGACGCCTGGTAGATCCTTTGTCTATTGATTCGTAAATAAATATTCTCATAATAAATAAATAATGTTGATTGATGAATATAACCGTTTTTGCCTTATGCTTCTTTATTTGTTTTCTATCTTCATTTTCTTTATCTTTTACACTTTGTATATATATATTTTTCGAAAATAAAAAACAACATACACTCACGCAATTTTATTTATTCGCACTGAACAATCGAGGCATAGTCCACAATTGAAATTCAAATCAACCACATATGGAAACGATGATTCTTTTTGATACTTTACCAATTAGTTCGTCAATAAAAAGTAAACAAAGTCGAAAACAATGATAATAACAATATTCTAACATCTATTACTATCTGTCTACCCACAAGTACAGGGTATATATGTATGTATAGTTGATAGTTTCTTAATGTTGCTAATGATGATTATGTTTTACAGCCAAATATTGTTATAGAATTTTAATTAAAAAGGCAATTTCCCTAGAAAAATGTAGTTTTTTTTTTATTACAAATTTTATTCTTTTGATTTTTACAATGGGTAGTTTTCACTTTGACTATTTATGTATATGTGACTCTTAGTTTGTTATTTGAATGAAGAAGCTTTTTTTTTGTTGTTCATGTTATCAATTCAGTTACATTGTGGTTTTTACTTGTATTGTAATTAATTTGTAGTTAAATGAATAATCTTTTAGTATATTTCAAATAGTTTGATGAATTTTGATTTTTCCCACCGATCAGAATCAAGATCGAAACTTTGATTTATTTTGTGCAGGTTTCAAAATGTAATATCAGCTAGTGAGTATTTTTGTATTTAGACAGAGAGTACTTAATAAAATTGACAAATGATTTGATAAGACAATGAGTCTTCATAGACTGAGATGGTTGAGATATGTATTATGTATCCCTGTTCACTGTATAATCTGATACGTGATGTCTGCTAGTTTAGGAGTAAGTTAAAAAGAACCTGAACGTCGTATCAATCCATGAAGTCATCAACTGTTAATTTAAGCTTTGTTGATAGATGGAAGCTACCTGCTTGTGGTTCACGCGATTATCGTTACTGTTAATTGATGACGTTGGATAAAATGGTTCAAAATCGGTCGCGATGGCTCAGATGCATCCATTCTCTATCTTTCCTGAGATCTTGATATGGGGGCTTATCTTACAGTTTTTATCCCATAAATTCATACATTTTAAATCATATTGTCTGTGTATAATGTTCTCTACTGTTGCTGATACTGTTATTATTTCTGTCATTTGTTTTGATAATTTCATGCTAATGTAGTATAACAATCTGAATCAATCCACATATGCACCCTGTTCTACACTGTTTATAATTGACTGACTGACTTGATCAGCTGGTATCCACGATATGGAGAGCTTTGTACGGGATACACTTTATTTGGTGATTAAATCTTCAAAAATAGACTAGATTGAATTTATTTTGCAATCATACAATAAAAGCTTACTTCTAATGAAAATTCCATTCGAAATGGATCATTTCCGATACCCTGAATTAAAGATCATCTTGGCTCGTACATGCACTTGAAGACATTGAGACTTTCGTCATCATGATTCTTAGATCAACGCATGAAAATAAATAGATAACAAAACTAATTATTAAGAGTTTCTTGTCAAGAGTAAGAAAAGTATATTACTGGCTGTAATGATTGAATTTTATGCAATATCGCTGACTGTAATTAAACTTGGATTCCAGTTAAGCTGTCTTAAGGTGCCGGATTCGCTAGTGGATTTGATTACGTGTTAAGAATCTAGAAACTGCTAACCTTGTCTATGAATTTCCCAAGTTTTGTAGTTGATTTCAATTTATACTAAAGTGTCTTTCAAACGAAAATTATATCAAGAGATAAGGGTGTGATTATCAGTGTAATTAAAAGTTGATTATACCGTTAACAAATATCAAACTTAAATACTTTGATAACTAGGATATCTGTAATGGAAAATAAATGTAATTTCATTTACTTACACCAAAAAATTAAAAGATTTGCTTTACAGTAAATAAATGAATGGAGAAGCTACAGGTATTTTTTAGTTTCCTAGGTCACTGTTATGACTTTTGGCCTGTTCTCCATCAATTTGGAAGACTCTCCCAGTCTCCCATACTGTACGAGCATTACATGTACCTAACTAAATGGTTGCTCTGGTTGTGAGAAGGGGCATCAGCCTCGTGGCTTCCGAAGAAACTCAGTTTTCACCATGAGGCGTCATCACTTCTAAATGAAGACCTTCTGACTCTCAGGGCAGAGTTTAAGTGGTTTGAATAATTTTTTCTGGTTAGCGTCTTTTTAGCGAGTTAGTTTTCTACGGGATGGGGTCGCTAACCCCATGACCAACCCTCCTCCTTTATCCGGGCTTGGGACCGGCAGTAGCCCCAGAGGGGATCCAGATGGTGTTCCGTGGCCTGTTAACTGCTACGTAATTAGAACACGACTTATCCAATTATAGCACTGTGCCAAACCAATGACGTATTGACCGGTATTAGCAGCCTAAAGTCCTTCCTTATTGATCCTTCTCGTTTAGCCCTGCCTATTGAGTCCAGAACACCGATATCAGCTCTCACTGTATGAATCAATCATGTAATTCAAAAACACGCAGTTTGTATACAAACAAATTAGACCGCATCATACTATAAATTAAAAAAGAACAATTGTACAAGAATCAAACCAGAATAAGCTGTATTTGTGAGATGCTGTTACTAATAGATTTGGAATAACTTGATAATAGTAAATCGTATAATAGTAGTAAATAGGTTGAATGAAAGCTTATAACAACTGGACTATGTACAGCAAACGTTTTATAAATGATCAAGGTTTAGTTTTAAAAGTCTCAAAATCCAATTGACATATGTTTATAAGTGGGACAATGATAAATGAGAAAATCACTGGGACAAGAAAAATAATCAATGAATGGTTGGATATTTTCAAACATAATACTTTAAGTCTAGAGAATGAAAACAATAATAATACGTTAAAACCAAGGTATTGACAAATACCTTTTTGTATCTAGAGTTTCTGCATTATCTATAATGTTTCGAATTATTTGAATTATAGTACGAAGTAAGAGTTCGAGAAATAACGCAATTGAATCAAGAAGTACTAGACAAGCACGAACGAATGTATTGTATTTAGAATTCGAAATCAAGCATTCAGCAAGTACGAAGAAATCATCAGTTCATGCAAACACCACAATTATTTCATGGATACTCTAAGATTCTACTATTTTAAAGAGTTGCAATGATGATCTTGAATTGATCAGTTCATGATTTCAATGAAACCCAACAATCTCCACAACCAGAAACTGGTAATTATCGTGTGCTCACTGGTGACTAGATTCGAAAGAGAATTTTTACAGTTCCAGTGAGAGGCCATGACTAGTGGAGTACATCAGTGTTCAGTTCGAGGTAGTTACACACTGAACACAAGCGAAGATGGTCGTGCAATATCGTTGATAAGTTGAAGATGGACATGAGGACTGTTGGATACTGGTTCAGTGGTTTAGAGGTTCGAAACCGAAAGTCCTGGGTTTGTGGGTGCGCACTGCTGAGGAATCCCTTACCAGGAAGGCCTTCCAGTACTTTTAGGTTTCCAATGGTGGTCTAACATTGATCTCAAACAGTAATCGATTGTGATGGATTATAAAACATTATCTTAAACTCAGTATTTGTATTTGTTGAGTAATCACAGTTAATTAAATATTCAACTATTGAACTACTAACTGTTTCACGTTAAGCCTTATAAAACCAAGATGAAATGTTCACTTGCTATTGTTTATTTGAATCTTCCTATTGATATTAGGACTGCAATCGATCAGTTTCTTATTGGCATATGTGCATACTTTGCGTATTGTTTCGATATAGCCTTAATTTACAGGCATTTTTATGGGATCCTTATATGCAATCCTCAACGTCAATGGGAAGATTCAAACAAACAATACCAAGTGAATTAAACTTCATTCTATTGCGCAAGAAAATGCCTATTAGGACTCAGTAGCTAAGTCGATAGCGTGATTTTTACTAATTGGTTGGTGTTTTAGAGTTTACACAATTGACTGTAAATATTTTCTTGTTATCAGTAATGATTTACGTGATCTGGTTGTCGATATGATGGACTGAATTTTGGTTAACCTTTGATGGTACATGTTGATCTTCTGTTAATTGTCTATATATAGCCAACTATAGAATAACATATTTTTGTAATAGTAATGATATAAACATAATGCCCAGTAGTATCCATCTGAACTCTGTAACTTAGTGCATAACGTTTTAGATTTTCGAAACTAAAGGTACTGAGTTCGATTTTCAGTGTGAACATTGACATTAGTATGAAGACGCATCAAGCAGAGAAGGACTCCGCTGCTAGCTATAGTTCATCTATCCTTAATTTTATTAATATTCTAAAAAATTGTCTACAAATAAAGTCAAACATTTTTGACTTTTTATACAGTGTTCGTGTGTCCTAAACCTGAGTACTGCATACAAGCTGCAAGATTTTGTTTAACAAAGGCAGTAAGCTTTTGGAAAAATTTCAGAGAACAGCAACTAAGCTGATTACCGGAATAGCGAAGCTTCCGTATGGTACTCGACTGACTAAGCTAAACCTATTCCCGTTATCATATCGAAGATCTAGAGGTGATGTGATTACAGTTTTTAAATTACTTAGTGATAAATTTGCACTGATATACCCTCATTTTTCTTGTCTTCCAAAACAGAGAATTTACGAGGACACTCCAAAAACGTTCACAAGCAGAGAACAAATTACTTGTCAGCTGACTATAAACTTTCCTATCAAGTCATCAACGAGTGGAATTCATTACCTAAGTACGTAGTTGAGGCTCCATCAATCGACTCTTTCAAAAGAAAGTTTTACCAACTGAGAGACCATCATTGCCAAGACTAGCACAAGTCATCAAGCATCCTGTCCTTTCCAAACTGTAATGTATTGTATAATCATGCATTCTAGACATTTTCGAAAAGTTTAACTTATTTACAGAGTAATCATTATGTGTTTTCTGAGATTGTATCAGTCTTCCTATTTATTGAATGCATCAAGTAGTGTAATGTATTTACTTAATGTTAACAGAATTATATCAATCATTGTTATAAACTGTGAAATTTGATCATCATTAATTAAACTAAAATTAAGTACTGATCTTATTAATGTTTACATTATGCTGATTAAAATATGGAATGGCTATGGACTTTAGTCAGACTTTAAGGGCAATCATATTTTAGTCCACCGACTTGACAGCATAATGAAAGAGTTTCTCAAATTTACAATTATCTGAATGTAATGTATTTTAAGATTAATTCATAGCGCATTAAGCAACTCAATCGCTTTATTTGATTACAAGAAGTCTTGTTTCGCATATTATTTTTACATTGTAGACACATAACTGCAATAATATGATGTGTTCTTTACAAAGAAAATGACAATTAACCGCTATATCTCGATCTAATAATGTTATTCTGTCATATCCCGGCGAGAATTATGAATTGCGAAAAACAACACGTGCGACAGAGAGACAGGATCGTATTGAACGAGCACGGCAAACGAATGAAGAAGTAAATAATGTCCTTTTTGCCAAAGAAAATGATCCAAGAATTATAGCTGAAAACAAGGCCCCTCGTGATTTGAAGGAAACAAAACGTCATGCTCGTTTAGTTGCTATGCAGAAACGATGTG